TAAGTGCAGTCTCTACCTCTCTGGCCTCTCTGGGTATGTGTCATGTGGAAGGGCCATTGCCTGAAACGTCACCTATTATGTATATTTTGTATTTTAAGGTAACGTAGTTATTGGCAAGCGCCCTACACAAAGTGAGGCTTCAAGTTTAGTCAAACGCAACGTTCAAGGGAACTCTCTAAAGAGTCAAGCCTGCATTTGAAAAATAAATTCACGTTAAGAGCTAAATCTAATATGCTCAGCATTACCATTATTGCCGAAATAAAAATAATTAACAGACTGCTTGTTATACGGCAATACGCTACCCCTGTATTTCACGTTATATTTTTTTATCACACGTTGGGACTGCAGACAGCTTCATCATGAGTTAATTTCTACACATAAGCTTCAGTTCTGTTCTAAACTAAGTTATGAAGACTGAAATGACATTCCCCAAAATCACAAAGGTTAAGAAATGGCGACGCACGCGGCTGTCGTCGAGCCGAGGCGTGTGATGACGTTTTTTTAAAAGTTAATTTTAACAAAGTTAAAACCGCCGTGTCAATTCTCACGTCACTTACATTGGAACAAAACTATTTTGATGAATTTGGTAGGAGTAAAAAAACTCATTTGAATTGTTATATCAAGACCACTTTTATTTATTTATTTCCATCTGATGTTGAAATGTCTAACAAATGATAGTGGTGGCCAGACAGATAATCCAGATGTCTAAACAATGAGCCCGTCAATCTCTGGAGAGATCCTAGAGTGGAATCCATGCGACCGTCTGTGAGACAACGTTGGTTCTCAGGGCTAGCGAATCCACGGGCTCAGCCTTATGAGTAATGACTGCACGCAAAAAACCCACAATCAAGTAACAAAATTGTGGCCGCACTTAATCCCGCGAACTTTCCGTCTCTGTGAATTTCAAACATCCGCTTGACTGTCACGTGACAAACATACGTAGCGGGTGGGTGAGAAAGTGCGCCCCCTGCTGTGTCACGATCACAGAGGTGGCTCTGTGATGTCCACTTCTGCGGGCGTTCATTCACACACAAGGCGGGCGGGCGGATGGGGGGGGCTGGGCTTGCACTGCCGTGTGAGACATCCCAGTAGACTCTTCCTCTCGTGACGTCACAGTGATGGTACAACGGGGATCGAGTTGCGTAAAAAGGACAAGCGCCCGAGCAACGGCGATAGATGAAACGAAGTGTGAAATCTCTCACGGGCCATTTGTGAGCGGAGAAGCGGCGACTGGCACGTGGCGCCCGCCATGATGGCACCACCCCCATAGCGGCCTTGGCCGCAGCTGGCCACCGTGTGCCCAAAACAAACCCCGCCCCCCCCAAACAAAGCAGAGGCTGTGGCAGACAGTGACTATCGGCATCACAGCTGGAGTGCAAAGAGCCAATCAGCACCTCGCGACAAGGCGAGCGCGACGCGAGAGAGCCGTGGAGCGGAGCGAGGCGGCCAGGGGCGAGAAGGAGGAGGAGGACGAGGAGGAGGAGGCGGCGGCGCTTTACCTCGTCGGCGCCTGCGGACGACGAAGAACTCGCACCGGAGAGACTCGCAGCAGGCGAACGATGATTTAAACTTTAAATGGTCCTCTTAAATAGTCCTCTTAAATAGTCCTCTTAAATGGTCCTCTTAAATGGGACTCGCGCATCGCGCACTTTAATTCCGCGAGCACATTTACAGCGGCGTTCACACGACTTGAACTCCTTTTTCGGACCTCGAACTCTTTCCACAAGAAGGGGGACTCCATCCTCCCCCCCGGTACGCCACCCACCCCCCCCCCCAGTTCATGCGTCCCTAGCCCGGCCTGTGGGGGAACCATGCATCGCGTGGTGAGATCCGGATCACTGCATTTCTCTCGTAAATTCGCGCGAAGCTGACATTGAAGCGGCGTTTTGGAGAATGTGCCGCGCGCGGTTATGAATTGCCCGGCGCTGACTGCGGGGCGGACGTTGGGACCGTCTTCTTCCTGGCCACTCACAAAATGAACCAAATTTATGGCAACGCAGGAGGAAGCGGGGGGAGAGGGGGGGGGCGAGGATAGAAAAAAAATCCCAAGATCCCATTATGGATTCCCACAAAACCTCGCCCATATACATCAGCCGCATGCCCCCAGAAGGCAATGCTCCGTAAATATAATATTACACTCATCTGTGCAGCCGCGTATCTATAAAGCGGCAGCGTGCGCGTGCAGAAGAATAATTTGTTGCCATGGCGAAAAGGAATTATAAGGTATTCAAAGTGTATCCGTTAGCGTTCCCACAAAAAATACGAATCGCATTTCACGATCCACGAATCGCCCCGCTACCCCCCCTCCTCTCTGTATGTGTCTGGCGCTTGTTGAACGACGTCGCTCCTTTATGCGGCACCGCTGTAAACCCCTAACGACGTTTTATGCGCCGAGGAAGAGTCGCGGCAGACGTCGCGAGCCGCGCGCGAGCAGAGGAGGGGCACGAGGTCTGGGGTTGACTAAAGAGGAGCCGGCGAAGGAAACATCAGAGGGGAGGGGGCCCGACCTCTCCCGCGTCGCTCGCCTGCCCCCTACGACGCCCGCCCGCCTTGCTCGGCCTCACTCGGCGCTCTGCATCGTAACGCCGTCTCCCTTGTCCCCCACCACTCCCCATGGTCGCCCGTCATCAATCCACTCGTCGCTTTTCCATCTTCATTTATTCCGCGCATCGTCACCACCGCCACCACCACAACCACAATTTTACAAGTATATCCCACCCACTCATCTCGTGTTCCACCTCGCCAATCATGGTGCACCGCAGTGAGTTCACCGTACAGCGCGTTGGTGAAGGCGCTTATATCAATGCATGATAAGACGAGACATCCTACAAGATGGTTGCTGCAGGTCATCGCGTACAAAGCGGGACGGCCACCGGGGCCATCGCGTGAGAGTCACGGGCCAGGCCTGAGCCACCATAGAGGCGGCGATCAAAGAGGTGGAAGCTGGAGACCCTGGCGCTCTGAGATGAATCCCCCCGAGAAGCCCGGGGCGAATGGAGCCATGAGAGAGAGAGACATTGCTAAAGCGGGCGCTGGTAACGCCTTTGATGCTGAAACTGCGGCGTTTTTTTCTCTCGACGCTACCGACGCCAGGGTCTTCTTTCAGTGCGGAGGAAGAGAGCGAGGAAGAGAGAGAGACAAGGGCGAGCGACTAGTCTAGCACGGCCCAAGCTCGCTCTGCCAGGCGCCCAACATCGTTCGAGACACAGCGGATGCCCGGCGGGGCGAGAGCCAATTGTCTCTTCGTCCGTGGAAATGCGGGCAGCTTTAGCACACCGTAACCGCACAATTTTTGAATGACATTTACATTTTAAAAATTACAGAGCTCAAGCCTACGGGGTTGTGTGTGTGCGTGACGTCTATTTGCGGGAAGCGCTGTGAGCGAACAGAGCCCCTTGACGAGGCGCTTCCCCGATGTTCACTATTCGTGCGCGTTCCACATTCGCTTGGTGTCACCGTGTGTCTGGCACCTGGTGTCTCTCACGCCCTGGGCTCATAATCTCCTCGCTCTTGACTCGTGCATTGAGTATTGGCTAAGGCCACCTAGCGATCGAACCAAGTGTTGTGCTATTGAGAAACCCTCAGCCGCACGAACACAGTCAAAAAATGTCGTAAATTAGTTGGCGATGCTGCTGCGTTGGCAGTGGTGCACGAGGTTCGTTCAGTGGTGCACGAGGTTCGTTCAGTGGTGCACGAGGTTCGTTCAGTGGTGCACGAGGTTCGTTCAGTGGTGCACGAGGTTCGTTCAGTGGTGCACGAGGTTCGCTAAGCGGTGCACAGGCGCCGCCACTTAACGAAACTACACCGAATGGTTTGAGTTGTTTTGTTTGTTTGTTGTTTGTTACGAATCATAATCGATCGGCTGCGAAAACCTCCACCCGAATGTAGTCATATAGCTCTTCCTCGCCACCTGGAATCGCGAATGATGCCAACGATTTCGCGATGCCAACGTAATTGGCATCGTTCCTGCAATGCTCTGATTGATATACCGATCGTCCACTTAGGGGCAACGCTTACGAGTTGATTCCGTCTCCCATCGCAGAGTGCTCAGAGCCCCGGGCAGTGCAGTCTGCGAGCCAATCGACCTTTCTCTAACCCCATCGCTTCCTTCTCCTGCTCTGACGAAGGGCTTCATGCTCGAAACGTCAGCCGACTGCAAGTCGGCTACTGTTGTAAGGGGCGTGGTTATTGAGGAATGAGGTTGAGTGTTTTGTTTGCTCTTATGCAAAGGACCCGTGCGTACGATTAATTACATTGATTGTTTAGAGCTAGGAAATGTGCCGGTTCAAGACATTCTGTCCCGTCACTTCCCATGAAGCAGTGCCGCAGGTTTAAAATGTTCTGTTCGTGTGTTCAACTCTGTGGAGCTACTGGAGTGATGGAGGCGGAGCTAGTTAGCTGAGTGGGCGTGACCAAGTATGTGTATTTAAAAAAATGGGCGGAGCTGGTGGAGGGGGGGAGGGGCAACCAGCAGTCACCTTCAGGGAAATTTGAAAAACCTCACGCGAAAGCCGCAGAGTTGCGTGGGCCCGCATGTGGGTGCCAGAGCTGAGTGTGGCGGGGCGAGCGAGTTTGCGTTGCACATCGGTGACGGCGCCGGCTCGGCCCGACGAGCTCGGGGTTATAAAGCACGGCGCCGTGAGCACAGAAATCCAACATGCGACCAACATGCGACCAAAATCCACAAAGGCCACGAAGCATTGCCGCGGGGAAGAGAGGGCGTGGGGGGGCGAGCTGATTTCGTAGCTGCGGGAGCAAACTCTCCAAATGAGCACGTTGGTCTCAACCTGACCCCTGACCCGGCAAAACCAGCTCGCAGTAGCGGCCTCTCCCACCGCCACTCGCCCCACGGATGCCCAGGGCCGCCCGTTTCGCTGCCCGTTCGCCTGCCGGTCGGTTTCGTAGCTCACGGCGCCGACGTGACGCGATCTCCGTCGGGTGTGTGGTGTGTGTGGGGGGGGGGGGTCTCCGTACGCCCCGGGTCCGCACGCGGCACTCACCTAGGACGCCCAGTCTGTAGTTGAGCGTGACCACTATGACATTGCCGTAGCTCGCCAGGATGCTGCCATCCAGCAGATTGCCCGTGCCCTCCATGTAGGAGCCACCGTGAACGTACACCATGACCGCCTTGGGCCCACTGTCGCGTATGTCTGCGTTGGGAGACATGGCACACGCACCAAAGACGCACCGTGCACAGGCACGGCTGTTAGTATCGCGAATAGGCGCGCTCGGCAATAGCCACGAAGCGGACGCGTTGACGTAAACGTGGCGTGCATTTTGAGACGGGTAACTTGCAACAACCTCGGCCTGGCGATGAACAACAAAACATCGGCGTCGTTTCCTGCTCAAAGCGGAGTGGCTCACGTTTCCCATTTCCAGACGTGTGCCAGGGAATTCCACACTCCTATGGCGGTGATGCGTCTTTCCGAAAATGAAAACCGCTGTTGACATATCTACGGAAAGTGGTACTTATTTTAATGACCCCCCCCCCGAGGGATGATGGGTTGAGCTGACCCTCAATCACCACTGCACGGTGCGGCCAGATTTACTGCTAACCGAGGGGGATGTTCACGATGGTGGGGTGACGTCCCCTCAAGGGCACGGCTCGTGCCTCGCCTCCACTCGCGAGCCGGGCACCTCCGAATAAAAACGATAATTTATCGCCCTCTGTTTGTCCATCCGCTGCTGGATGAAGGCCACCACGTGCCGTGTGTCGGTCACGTGGGTTGTTTGACCATACTTCGCCGGTGCGAGTTGGTGAAGCGGAGGCGGCTTGGGAGGGGAGAGCCCATTACAGTAGGTCATCACTCGCCACTGATGTTAGCCGGGAATTGAACTCGGGTTCGCAGGGTTCACATCACAGCGCCCAAACCGCTGCGCCACAACTCGCACGGACCGCCCTAATTGCCTTGGAATCGGGCCATAAATGTCCCACGGAGCCAACCTCCTTTCATTAAACACCTTCGGGTCGCTCGCTATGTTCGGGACGTGCACCTCATAATCCGTTTTTGTGGCACCGGCCCCCACTCCATTAGCCCCGGGCGCAGCACCATCGCAGCGCGCCACCGCTGACGGGAACGTGGCTCTGCCTCCACACCTTTTGCGTTGGTTGGTTTTTTGGTTGTTGTTGTTGTTTCTCTGCGACCGAGGCCTCAAGGTCAGCCTCTTAATGACGGGCCACAAATCTGTCGCCGGGGGCAGTTCCGTCTCGCGCCAAATTATTGAACTCGAGGAGGCTCGGGCGGCCGGCGAGTGCCGCGGCTGGCGAGCGTGGCGAGCGCGACGGAGACGACTCGGGGGGGCACAGGTGCGCCCATCGACCTACTCGCGCACTCGCTATTGAGCGATGACGCTTAAATGGCGTCCCTGAAGGGCCTTTCACTTCTAAGGGGGGGGGGGCGGTGGGGGGTGGTGGGGGGAGGGGGGAGCGCGCTATCCGCGAGCCGGCGGGGGTCTGTGGATTGCGCGCGGCCAGATGTGCCAGGTGGTTTTGGCATTAAAAATGCGGTAATAAGCGCGGCAATGTCCGGCCGCGTGCACGGAATTACTCTTGATGAGGTTTTATGTTTGAATTCGCGGCAATTTGCGTGACCTTGCGTTGAGAGTCTGGTCGTGAACTCGGGCTGGGGGCCGCTCTCTGAATTCTCAGGCGGGCGGCACTCAATCACCGCTCACCGCAGAGTGGAATGAGTTTCATTTAACCCGACACACCACGTCCAGTACACCTCCCGCTGTATGGCTGTGGCTACTGGCCACCTACTCCAACAAAAACGACGCCGTTAAAAAATGTCGGTGAGAAATTAAATGCTGGGTATCGTGCACATTTGTGCAACGCTTTGTTCCCAAGCCTAACGTTAAAAGTATCAAATATATATTGTACCCATGACGTACAGAGAATTTCCGGGCAGCGTTGATACAGAATGACGACATGAAGCATTCGTAACAAGCTGTCTGGGCGACGCGAAGACGCAACCTTTCCGTATTTTCGTGTTTAAGTAGTGGCTGCGCACCCCAGGGGCCATACACAGAGAACACATTCATCGCATCAATTAGGCCTCTGCTTCCCCCCCGCCCCCCGACTCTGGAAAGATTTGCGCGCTGTAGGGGCGGGCAGATCTGAGCTTTGTAGCTGAGTTCACGGCTCCAACGCGAGCAGCTGGTTTTCCAGCCGAATTTGGATTCTGAGCGGCGGCGCCGCCTTCGCGCGCGCGCGCGAGCGGCAGTTTCGGCGCTGCGGTTTGTGAGTGAGCAGCAGCATGTTAATTGCGAGGCGCGCTCATTAGAATGTTTTGCGTGCGCCTCGCCCCCCGATCTGCTTCCGCCGCTCGGCGTTTCTCGCACCGCGCGCGCGTGCGGGCACCAGCGTCTGCCGATTGCCCGCGGGTCCTCAAGCGGTGCCATTCCATCTCTGGGCCTGCGGGTTTCCGTGCGGGTTTCGCACGTGCTTGGGACTAAGAGTTTAAAAAAAAATTATTATTGTAAATGGTTTCAGCTTCAAAAATGTACATATGGCAAAATAACCCAGGGGAAACGTCTGAAAACAGAAGGCGTTTTGTGAGTGGGTCCTTTATCATGGAAATCCCCACTCATTTATGTTTGGTCACGGGAGCACAAAGATCTCGTAGCGCAGCGCTGCAACTTCATCGCGCTTCGAGTCGCTGAACACAAAGTGAACGCAGGGAAATGCCGTGCACTAGGTTCAGGAGAGAGCGAGGGGGAAGCTTCAGTAGCGCACGGCTCTCTCTCTGCTGCGCTCTCGCTCTCTCTCTGCTGCTCTCTCTGCTGTCGAAGCGGGGTGCAAGGTGACGCAGTGACGCCGTGGACTCGGTCGATCCACACAGGAGAGCGAAATTAATGAGACGCTGGCGCGAGAATGTTTCATTGGATGTGCATTTGTCCGATGGCGGTCTCATGAATGTAGCCCGACTTATTACGTTGATAGACGAATGGCCATTATTTATGACTGGGTGATGGGGCCAATGAGAATAGGCGTCTCTCGCAAATTTATTTAACTGGACAATTGGGTCACAACAAACACAGTACACCTCGCAGCAGCACCGATGTCAGTGTTGAAGCCAAACAAGACGCACAAATTAAAGAAAACAACACGAGAATAATTAACACGGATGACAAACCAAATGACGCATGCCCATGGTAAACAGACCCACAAAAACGAAAGCAAAACGAGAACAAAAACAGATCGCACACAAAAATAATCCAAGTTCAATAAAGTGGGGGGGGGGGGGGGGGGGGGGAAATGATACAGCTGTCGGGTAAGTTTGTGAGGAGTTGGGCTTCTGGCAGGCAGGGCCCTGGTGGTTGGTCCCGGTCGAGTGAGCCAGAGTGCGTAGGACCGCACGCCGAGGAGGTGGCCAGCAGCTCGCCACTGCAGCCCCACGCCCACCCTGGGCCCTGGCGGAGCCGGCTCTGGGCAGGGCCTCTTCAGTCCAACAGCTGCTCTCTGCCACGTGTGCATCGATGGCACTTTGCCGCACATTAGCCTCAGCGAGGTGGCCTCAGTTTCCATAAAGAGGAGGCACCAGGCATCTGGCCTCAATGTCACTTTGCCAAACATTACTCTCGCCACAGTGGCCTCACTTCATAGAGGAGGGGGGTGGCACCGGGCTTCGGCACGGGGCGAAGCGGTGCATTGCGGTACCTGGCACAGCAGCTCGCCGACTTCCCGTGGGGCGCGGAAATGTGTATCGATAAAGGGACACGCGCTCGATCAATGGGCAGCGAGCCAGGAGCAGAATATTGGGGCAGTCAACTGTTCTGGAGATTGAGCCACGGTCACTGAGGCCGGTGCGTGGTCTTCCCTTCACAACGACAATATCACCCTGAATATGCGTGACCTTGACAGGCTGAGAAGGTTAAGAGCCTGGTGCGTATGTAGTGGTGGTGTTGACGTGCGCCGACAGTGATGGATCACGGGGCGCGGGGTTGGGCACGCGATGTGGGCGTGGTATGAACGCGCACGCCGGTGGTGAGGCGCGCTGATACAATCGGGGAAAAGAGGATCGTAGCCAGCGCGCGCAGTGATTGGTCAATAAGATGGGTGCTCTCAGCGACGTCCGCAGGAGGGGTATAAAGGGAGACGCGCGAGAGCACTCGTGGTCAGTGTTAACCAGTTGAAGACCGAAGACGGAGTGGAGGAGGTAGTGGCCCGAGACCCCTAGTCCCGCTGTCCTTGTCGGGACCGGGGCCCTGTGTGGCTCGGAGCCGAGACTGGGGAACCCGTAGTCCGACGCCCGCGTGGGTCGGGACGGTGGTACCCAGAGCCGAGACGGACACCCCAGCCGGGTGTGTTCCGGAAGGCTACGGGGCGTAAGAGCCCGTGTCAGTATAGCTGAGTGGGTGTTAGTCACCCGAGTAGCTAAGTGGGTGTTAGTCACCCGTGTAGCTGAGTGGGTGTTAGTCACCCGAGTAGCTGAGTGGGTGTTAGTCACCCGAGTAGCTAAGTGGGTGTTAGTCACCCGTGTAGCTGAGTGGGTGTTAGTCACCCGAGTAGCTGAGTGGGTGTTAGTCACCCGAGTAGCTAAGTGGGTGTTAGTCACCCGTGGAGCTGAGTGGGTGTTAGTCACCCAAGGGGCTGGGTGAGTGTTAGTCACCCGTGTAACAGTTTGGTGTCAATAAAAAGAGTGTGCTACCCGTGAAGACGTCTCCCGCCGAGTTACTACTTTACAACTGGCGTCAGAAGTAAACCTGTCTTCAAGAAGAATGGACACAAGGAAGACTTCGCGTACCCACGTGCAAGATCGGGGAGACGACGGCGTACCGGAGACACCAACCTCGGGAGGAGAGGACGAGGAGTTGCCGCCAATACAGCACTTCGCGGAAATGGCCGATGCTCCGCTTGCCTCCGACACCAGCCTGCAGGACGCACACTCCCGCCTGGCGGAGTTGCTGCTCGCCGCCGCTGCGATTTTGGCGGAAATCTCCGTTCCAGCGGCCGGAGGGACGGCTGCGGGGTTGGAGGAGGCGGCGCGGCTGGAGGGATCCCGCCAGAAGGCGTTTCGCGCCAAAAGTTTTGGAGTTGGCGCCATTTTTGAGGGCCCGCCACCGCTTGGCGGGAAGCGCGGACACCACGTGGCCAGAGATCTCCACACAGCGCAGCCCGCGTCATCGGCGCGCGCCGGAGATCTCCATT